GGTTAAGCTAATTGCTGGCCTCTGACCTGAGCTGGGGGAAAGAGAAAAACTATTAAGGAAGGGAGAATAAGTTGGTGGGAGGAGGCAGGTTAAGCATTTCATCCACTTGAAGATGCTACGCTGCACAGTATTTTGCACCATCAACAGAATTTTGGGATCCCGCTTTCACTGAGTAATCTGTAGCTTTGCCCTTATACTCAGGATCCTAATGTTACTTCAGATGTATTCAATATATTTGGAAACCAGATTGTACAGCACACTCATGAGTTCTTCTTTTATTCATTTTATATACCAATCAACTCAAGATTGTTACTTTATGTGTACAGATGATCCGAAACCTTGTGCATTGTTGCTCTCCACTGAATGTCCATATCATGTACATTGTCTTAAATATGACTGTCACATGCATATATTATCTGAATATGAAACATTAATAATGGGAAGCAGCAGCCCTGAGTTTTCTTAGCAAACAGTTTGGGGGGGGGAAAAATCAGTTTAGGAGTTTTGTCATGGATGGTTTTCTTTAAGCTTTTCTTAGTCATCTGTTGTTGTTTTTTAATAGTGTGACCCTTCACAATCTCCTAAGTGACCGCTCATACAATTTGTTTGCTAGCATTATTCTGAGAACTTCAGATTACTCTGATTGTATGAACATCTGGAAATTATCACATACCATTGTTGACAGAGAACCTCTGAAGTTCATCCAGCAGGCCTTGAGAGACGTAGTCCTGGGTAAGAAAAACATCTCTCTTACAAGACCATTTGGGGGAAATTAACATAAAGACACATTATAAGACCAGAAATAGATTCAAATGTAGAATATGTCCACTTGGGATTTGGGATGACAAGTCTCATGCTTTATATCTCGATCAAGGGATTCCTGTTCTGTTCAGGGTTGCAGTGCTCCTTTTATGAGATGATCCTTTATACTGCTGTAGATGGTGCTGAAGTATAACTTTTGCATCACCCAGTTAACCACTTAAGTTGTTTGTGCAGTTGAACTGGCCTTCCTTTTAGCAACTGCTGAATCAATTCCAACCACAATAGTATTTATAATAAAATTCTAGGTTTTCTGCTTTCTGAAGCAAATGAAATCAAGGAAGTGAATCTGGTGTTGGCCCAGTTCTGTGAACTGGTGAACTAAGATACAAGAAGCTGATTCTAGACACACACATCTGCTCCTAACCGTAGTGATGCCAAAAAGATGAAACCTGCATTGTGACATTGTGACACAAGTTCTGCCCTTTCATATTTGCATTGTGAGGTTATATACAAATATGGATGGAGATTATGTTACAAGGTTGCAACATGCATTTTGTTGCTTGCCTCCTCTTCCCCCAACCTGGCAGATGCTTACAGTTCTAGAACGCCATAACTGTCACCACTTGTGTTTTCATCATATTGTTTGCAGCTGCTTTCCTTACTGTGATCCATTTCAGGAATGAGGTTTAGAGTGACCATTATTCAACAAAATGCACTTCAGGCCAAAGGTTACTGGGGTTAAATACACCCACCATACATCCAAGTTAGACTGCAGGGTTTATGGATTCATTCAGGAGATGTTGCTAAAACTGGACCTGAGCATGCCAACGTGACCAATGAAAAGAATCCTCCCTGGGGTTTTCCTGGTAACATACATATAAAAAAAGAAAGCAGAAGTGGGAAAACATAGGAGGCTTATAGCAGAGAGACAAGGATGTCAGGCCCCTCTTTAAAATTCCATGGGAAGCTGCACAGTAAGACCCAGTCTGGATTGTGATAGAAAGCATAACGTATAATGGATCTATTTTGTCTTTTAATAAACTTGTTTGGATTTAGACTTTGAAGAATTGCTAACTGGATAACTTTCAGGGCACTTAAATCAAACATTTGCACCTCAGACTTCCAGGCCTTGAGAAATGTTTTACACCAAGGTGAATCTACAGCATCTACAAGTGTGTATACCCAAATCCTGAATCTAAACATTTTTCTGTTCATTACAACATTGAACCTCACTGGAATGAATGAAGAAGTCCCTACATTGAATATTACACTGGAATACAAATGAACAGAGGGTCCAGAAAATATGGGAATAATGGGGGGAGAGGAAAGCTCTTCTAATTAAATGTATCACTTGCCCTCCTCTTTCCCCTGCTTATAACCAAATGATGTTTTTATGTATTTATTTCTCAGTCAAATTTATACGGCCACCCGTCTTACAAAAAGATACTCTGGGCGGCATACATCAATTAATTAAAGCAATAAATATATAAAAACAGTCATTATATACTATACTGAACTCCACTGTATAGTGCAATATTAATGTAACATCAGGGGTTGTGCAATGATGAATAGAATGTGAAGGATGTGTGTTCTTTATTCTATGGCTTTTATATTTATAAGGTGCACTGGGGATGGCATTTCATTGTACGAGGTACAATGACAATAAAGTTTAATTATTATTATTATTAAAATATAAAAGAGTCATTATTAAAATATATTTAAAAAACACAAGGCACAAGAGAGAGTGAATGTTAATCACAGTAATGGAGCCATCTTAAAATTTCTTTGGTCCCCTGGAACCCCCAGGCTTGGTGACATAGCCAGGTCTTAGGGGACTTCCAGAACATTAACAGGGATGGATCTAACCTTCCTTTGGGGGGCAGAATGTTCCATAAGGCAGGGCACCATGGCAGAGAAGACCCACCTCCTGGGCCCCATCAAGTGTAGTTCTTAGCAGACAGGACCCACAACATACCTTCTCTGCCAGGTCTAATGGGATGGGCAGATATAATTGGGGAGAGGAGGTCCCTCAGATAATGCAGCCCCATGCTGTGAAGGGCTTTAAAGGTCAAAACCAGCACCTTGAATTGGACCTGGAAGCAAACTGGTAACCAGCAGCTCAGGGAGCAGAGGTGTGACATGTGCTGTTCTAGAAGCACACACAACTGCCCGCGCCACTGCATTCTGCACCAGTTGAAGCTTCCGGATATTCTTCAAGGGCAGCCTCATGTAGAATGCATTACAGTAGTCCAGTTGGGAGGGGACTAGGGCATGACTGACTGTGAGCAGAGCCCCCCAATCTAGGAACGGGCGCATGAAGCTGTGCAAAGGCCCTCCTAGCCACAATTGCCATCTGCTCTTGGGGCAGGAGACATGAGTCCAGGACCCCCAGATTGCGCACCGGGTCTGTCTGGGGCAGGGCAACCCCATCCAGCACCAAAGGTGGCATAGTCCTAGAAGTGGCAGGCCCCAAAACCCAAAGCCACTCAGTCTTGCCGGGGTTCAGCTGAAGCCTGTTGTTCCCCATCCAGATCCTCACAGCCTCCAGGCACCAGGATAAGACATTCACAGTGTTGCTTAATTCACCAGGGGCAGAGATATATAATTAGTCATCATCAGTGTACTGATGATAGCTCACCCCATGCCCTCATGTGATGTTAAATAGGAGAGGAAAGAGCACTGTGGTTTATAGGGGGCAGGATCTCACTTCCCCGATCACCACCAAATGGAATCAACCCAGGAGAAAGGAGGCGAACCAGCACAACACCATGCCGCCCATCCCCAATCCTCTGAGCCGATCCAGAAGGATACCACAGTTGATGGTATCAAAAGCTGCAGAGGGGTCAAGTAGGGCAAGGATGGATGCACAACCCCCATCCCACCCTTGCCCGAGGTCATCCAAAAGTGTGACCAATGTTGTTTCCATCCCATACCCAGGCCTCAATCCCAACTGGAAGGGATCCAGATAATCCACTTCTCTCAAGGTTCTCTGGAGCTGCTGGGCAACCACCTTCTCGACCACCTTCCCCAAAAAGGAAAGGCTAGATACTGGACAAAAATTGTCCAGTATAGCGGGGTCCAGAGATGGCTTCTTGAGAAAGGGGCAAACCAAAGCCTCCTTAAGAAGTAAAGGAATGACCCCCTCGCTCAAAGAATTAACCACCGCTAGAACCCACTCACACGGCACCCCCTGGGCTGCCTTAACAAGCCAGGAGGGGCATGGATCTAAAGAGCAGGTGGCTGAACTCACAGTCCTAAGGACCCTGTCCACTTCCTCAGGCCCAGCAGGCTCAAACCTTTCCCAGATAACTGGGCAGGACTCCTCCCCAGGCATCTCCTCCAGATCTGCAACAAGGCTGGCATCCAACTCTGAGTGAATCCGAGCAACTTTTTCTGACAGATGCTGAACAAATTCCTCTGTATGCCCCTGCAAGAGGTTCTTCAAGCTCCTCCTACCCAAGAGGGCTCTTGTCACCCGAGACAGGACCACAGGATGCCTATCTGCAGACACAATAAGGGTGGAGAAGTACTGACACTTTGCTGCCCTTACTGCCACAAGGTAGGCCTTAATAACTGCTCTAACCTGTGTTCGGTCAGGTTCATCCCTTGTTGAACACCACCAATGCTCTAGACATCTCTTCTTTCATCTTCCTCAACTCCTCTGTAAACCACGGGGAGTGATGGGATCCCCAAGTGCAACAGACCAGCAGGAACGGCCTCCAGCTCCCTCTGAAACCCATCCAGGTCCATCAGTTGCCAGGGGTGGACCAGTCTAATGGGTCCAGCCTCCCTGCAATGGATAGTGATGCTAGAGAACTCCAAGGCAATCAGGGCATGATCTGACCATGACAAGGGAGACACCAAAAACTCCCCCAATTTCAGATCACATAGCTACTGCTCCAATAGGAACACCAGATCCAGTATATGACCACTGCCCTGTGTCAGGCTCTGGATGATCTGGGTTAGGCCCATGGCCGTTATGATGGCCATGAACTCCCGAACTGCCTCTTCTATTCTTCTGAGTCCCCTTGTAATTCATGCATTTTGTTGTCGTTATTAATGCATTCTGCAAACAGTGAATAGTTCAAAATAGTTTGAATTATTTGTGTTCCTACCAAGTCAAGAAGCTTAAATCTACCAAACAGAAGAGATTCTGCATATTTTAATGAAAGATAAAACAACAATATAAACATACACAAATTTACAGAGAAAGGATCAGTTTTAATACATTTGGAATAAAAGGATTTCTTTTTTCCCCTTAAAATATGGTATAAAAATAAATGCAAGAAACATTAACAGAATTTACAGACAACAGACAAAGACACAGACTTTCTTTCTTGATGTGAATACACCTGTGAGACAGAACCTTCTGTGCTAATTTATTGTGCAATAGCTGTGATGCCATATTAGGTATATTTATTAATATATTCTTTTTTTACATGTCTTCCAGTTTGTGAATGACAGCACTGTAAATAAACTGTGCCTAACAGAAGCTTTTTTTTTTTTTTAAACTGTACTGGAGCTTGCAGAAAATAAATAGACACAGATCCAGCTTGATACGAAGGCGAAAGTGAGCAGAGAGTTTTCAAAATGGAGGCATCAAAAGGTTAGTGAGTCCCGTGGAGTCTGTAATGCCTTGATATACACAAGAGAAAACAAGTCAGGTCCTTGCTCATGCAACATCTTGTTCTATTGTCCTTTGATTTCAGGCAATTAGTGAGCTACGAAGTATGTATAATGACTGAGTCTGCTTCCATGCTACAAGGTGATACTTTTAGTAGGACTGCACTAGACTGGTTAATCTCTTTGATGTGAGCGATTTCCCCTGAGAAAAAGATAGAAACAAACAAACAAAAGAAAACAGAAGACAGAGGCATGTTCACTGAAAACCCAGTTCATCTTCAAGCACCTACTTGTCTGGCTAACATTTTGCACATTGCTACATTAAATAGGAGATGTCTGTCCTTGGGCTATTGCAGATATGAATAGTTCATCACTTGGTGACTGCAGTATCAAGAGGTTCATGTTATCCCAGGCACAACCGCACAGATGGAAATTTGGGTCACCTCAAATGTGAGGAGTCACTGGAACTGCTTGACAAAACCAGCTTCCAGTCCTCATCAAGGGAAACAGAACCAAATACAAAGAACTTGGGGGGATATGTCTGCTTTGATCAATACGTGCTTGAATACTCTGAGCAAATCAAAGTCCAGTGATTTAAAAAGCATCACTCTCTTAAAACTTTCACATTGTACCCACTGGAAGCCATTAAAATTACATTCCAAAAACATCCAATTTCAGCTGCACATTTTCAGATTTCTCAGCCAAAATACTGATGTTAATGGCCAACTGTCAGGTTCAATGTTCTGAAGGCAGCAATGGAAGATCTGAGCTTCATTATGGTGTCCTGAATTCTAATGCAATGAGTTTAAACAATCAAACAGCCAATTCATTATGCACTATTGCTGATATGGCTTACATTTTAAATACAATCCATTTATATTGCTGATGATAATTAAATTCATATAACCCTCCTCAACATTAAGTTTGCATGGTTATAAACTCATCAGATCTGAACTTTCCTTTCTTTTGATGATTATCACTTGTATTTATTTATTTATTTATCATATTTATATAGCCGCCCATCTCACACAAGGTGATTTTGGGTGGCGTACAACAATTAATTAAATATTAGCAATAATGTCATGAGGCCATATATTAATGACATCTCAATGGCACAACAAATGGTTGTCATAAAGTCATTTGAATCTCTCATATGATGCAGAATATAGAGCTGAAAGCAATGGGCAGCATGAATGTATATATTTCTACAAAATCACAGAGGTTTTGCAGTTCTAAAACCAAAGGTTTCAGAGACGCAGAAGGAAATTATTCAGATATGGTGGTTTCTATGATCCTCTCTTTTTTCTAATTTCTACTTTACATTCATATACAATTACACTAAACTGTACTTTCTTGGCACTGAGCATAACAATACAAGTAAAATATTTGAAGCTACCACATGCATTTCACAATTTCTGAAATAAACTGTGATCACACTCAAGTTATTGTGCCTATAACTTATCAGGTATCTTGTGGTGCCCAAAGATAACTGTAGGGAGATTCCTTTGCTGTTAGCATGTCATGGCAGCTGATAACGATAATGCTATCTACCAAACTACCTCACCAGCTAGAGTTGTATCTGGGTATTATAACATTAGCCAACTGGTACAGAAGCCCAGAAGTCAGGGAATATTTATGACTGGGCATCAGTACATCCAGCACAAGTATGTCTACAAAAGAAAATAAACAATAGGAGGATGGTTAGATGAAAATGTCATTAATAAGTTCATTGAACTGGACTGTTTTTTTAACCTAGTTAGTTATTTGAGGTGCTTATATTTATTAGCACTTTATGATCATTAGATTGGTTAAAGGCAGAAAACACTGTGTTAAATGAAAGGGACACAGTCTCTATAATCCTGCTGACACACACAGTATTAGAAGGGGCATTACCAACATCTTTTATACACCTCAACACTTTTTCTCTCACTGAACTTCTGTTGCTGCTGATCCATTGTGGGAAACATTTTGTAAGGACAACTTGCTGGAGCTTATGCTCTTGATACATTAATTTTAATAACTGGATGGAGTTGCCATTTTAGAATTTCTTACTGTGTCAATTCTACTAGCAAAAAGATACATAATTTACATTTGGTTCTCACATTCTGACCAGCAAAGCAACTGGCTAATATAAATCTCCCATCAAACTACCCCTTCTGTTATCCATACTGTCATGTCTCATCAAATCCCAATTATATTTCTGCTATGGATACTGGACATCCAAACCCTGTTCTAAGCAGCTCCAGCCAGTCTCATCTGAATTAATAGCTATTTTTCAAATTTCAGATGGACTCAAGTCATGCCTGGAGTTTGTTGAAGCTTGATCATCTAAGCTAGGAAGGATGGAAAAATAGAGGATGCTTTGTTACAATGGCACAGGTAATGTGTGCTTATGGCTTTACAAACTTTGATAGCTATCACAAAAGAGATATTTTTTAGAGTTCAGAGGTCACAATATTCTGTTTGAGTCTTATGATTTCATGAGTTATACGTCTCAGGAGGTGGCAGTATCTGAACTTCTCTGGCCTTAGAAGCTAAACAGAATTGCACCTGGTTAGTATTTAGAGATCTTCAGACAACACCAGGGCTGTAGATTATATTGGGGAATGAAAAAAAAAAAAATCCTGGAAATAGCCAATGGCAAACTACTTCTACATTGCTGCCAATACAGCAAGTCACCAGAGATTGAATTTGACTTGAAGGAGATCACTTTATAGTTATAAGAGAGCATTCAGTTACACATCTCCAAATGTTATAATGCTGCTTTTCTAGATCTTTTTTGTCCCCAAACAATAACAGAATTCACAGTGTAACATGCTGTGGTGAAACCACCATGCAAAAATAGGGGTTTTTGTTTCAGACTCTCCACTAATTTTTTGTTTGTTTGTTTGTTTGGCTGACAAGCAGGGCGGCAATTCTCAAAGAATTCTTAGTGTCCAGGGTTATTTGAAATTAATAGGACGAGAGGATTAAAAAGCCCCAAATCCTGTAATTCTTACATTTATATTGCATTCTATTGCTATTACATTAGAATGTTTCTCCCTAAATATCAATTTCTAAGTCCCATCCTCCAGAAATATCTAATTTTCCTTGCAGGCATCAAAAGCACTCCAGATCATGCTACTCATGATCTCTATCGGCTATGTAGCTCTTATCATTATATTAAAAACATTTCAAACCTTGCTTATTTAGAAACGATGAAAGGAATTGGTTTATAAAGACAAGAAAAACAAAAACCATGATCTTTGCTGATGTTCTTCATAAATCACCACTTCAGTACACACAGCTTTGTTAACTGACTGCAACAGCAAAAGCCACAATACAGCACACTTATGCACGCTCACACACACGTGCGCACAGGAAATGCACACAACTCAGCGGACAATGTCAACAAACTGGAGTAGAAGCCAAAGATCTTTCTACCTCTTTTCATAACAGGTTAGTGCTCGCCCTCAGTGTTGGTGTACAGTTTTTATGGCAGGGGAAAATTGGGATGTTTCTGCCCTACAAAAATAAATGTGTTGAATGCTTTAGTTGGAACCCATGCAATGGTTGAAAAATGCGATCCAAAGGCATTGGCACACACATTGTTAAAACAAATCCCAGAGACCCCAATCTAATGTTATTGAAAAAGGTGGCTTTGAAAAGAAAATGTAGGGTGAAATGGAACCAGTCTAGTAACGTTATTCTCTCACTTCTTAAAAGAAAAGGTTCCAGTTTTCCTTTTCTGGGAAAATATCAAGGTGGCATTGTTAAGTTGTTTAAGCTGCTTCTCTGCTCTTGCTGTTTAAGCCATTCCCAGTCGTTTCAGCAGAGCCTGGCTTGTAACAGCCCCTGGTGGCTGGAGTTCAGTGTCAACATAACCCACATAATATCAGAGGACAATCCGTCAACCGTAAGGCTCATGAGGTTATAAACTTACCACACTTCGTGTGAATTTCTCAAATGATGTTCGGCGATCCAGTGTATTTCCCAACTTGTGAAAGAAAAAAATATAAAGGGGAAACAAAAGCAAAAGAAGCCAAAAAAAAGAACAGACCACGAAAATAAAAGGACAATGAAGCAATGGGTTGCTAAAACACAAAAGTCATGGGGGGAAAAAACCCACAGCACAAAAGCAAGTGTAGAAGATGAAATGCTCATAGCAATAGAAGGGAAAATATATTTTCCCCCACAATTTTCACCTGATGCAGGGAGGTACAAATGCATAGAGGTGTATAGGTTGCCCACCTGAATGTAGTCTTAGGCATGCAGAGGAGCACAGAGCAGCTGGAAGGGGTGGGGCAGAGAGAATCACACTTGGCACCCAGAGCATTTGTCCCATGCTTCATCCACCCCCCTTACATGGATGTCTGCCTGGGTCAGCTTTGACAGTGCTGATCCACTGGATGGAGAACAGCACTGACGTACGAGATCAGAGCTTTTGCTTAGAAATAACTGCCAAGCTGATCAAACTGGGATAATACAAAACAAACATGAAATTAAAACAGGACAAGGAGCCCTGCACACTCTGCCAATTGCATGACCACTTACAAAATCTAAGAACATAAACTAATTTTGTTTAAAAAAACCTCTTCTGTTTGCTTCAGATCTCCATTTATTTACTGTATTAATACTATCTCAAAAGTGAGAAGGAGTGGGTTTGAAACGGTTCTCAAGGCACACAGGCCATTAAATGTAAGGGCAATGCATTGCTCTGAGTTCCCTGTATCTTTTAAAATGCTAAATAGCGTAAGTTGAATAATCTAGATCAGATCCCTGATGTACAGGGAGATGGCTGCCACAGTCCCAACAAGATGCCCTGCCAAGTTGCTATTATCTCACAGAGCCAATACGAGCTTTGGGAGAGGAATTATTTTGTTGCATCCCTAGTAGATGCCCTTCCTAAACTTGCTATTTGGATGGTTTCCATTTTTTTCTTGGTTTCCTATTGTTTTTAACCATTTAAAGGGAAGGAACGCGAACTAACTACAAAACTGGATTATGAATCTGCACTGTTGGTTTCTTTATCTTCTGTCTTTCTAGTTTTACAGACTGATATAAGAAACCAGTCCTATCCAAGCATCGTTCTACATAAAGCTAGAAAACCTGCTCTCCACTGTTTCTACACTAATTTTTTTTTTCCTACTAGATCTTTGTACATCCAGCAAAAACATCTGAAACAAACTACATAAGTATATTTGGTTGTATCCAGAGATCTGATGATTTGAAGCCCTGTGTCATCAGAGTTAATTGAACCTCCTTCTGGAGCCTTTTAAAATCTCCATGGGGAATGTGCAGAGATCCACAAATTCAGATGTGCAAAACCAATGGAAGCAGGCCATCCATGCATACCTATTCCCCACAACCCAAGTAAGTTCTCTCTGTGCATCCATGGTCATTATAGTATTTATTTCAGGGGGCTTACACAAAGGAGTGTCCCAGTAACTGTGTCCTGGGGATCCACTAGTAGTACAACTCAATAACACAGAGTCTGTATGTGCCATGGTGCCCATAACACTCCAGATGACCTCCATGGACTTCCAAAATTAATAGTCATAGTAATAATAAATATTTTGAAATAATAAAAGTCAAAACATTCCCAACATCAAACTCCTCCTCCATGGCAGGTCTTGGTTCCATTGATACACATTGAGTAGGAAGATCTAAAGGAGGTATCTCAGCTTGTTTGGCTCTATGCAGAAACTATCCATGATCAGAAACCTTAATAAGATAGAGTTTCTAATCCCAGATTCTTCTAACCACATACAGGAGCCTATTTTCAGACTTTTCTTCTCAAAAGGAAAGATCAAGGGTGGAGTGACTGATGATTCTGAGGTGGGAATGGTGTACCCAGGCTATCCACCCCTGCTATATGCACTAGAATTAGGGTGGCCAGTTGTCCAGAATTATGCAGAACAATCTGAAGTTTTTGAAGTTTGCCCTCTACCCTCTGGAGGATTCACCTTTTGTGTTTGATCTGCTTCTGTCTCCTCTCTGGTAGGGCTAATCAGTCTGGACTGCAAAAATCCAGGCAACTGCTAGATGGCAGCAAAGACTTAGTGTTTCCTGATTTTTTTCCCCTGCTACCTAGCGGGCTGGGTTTTTGCAATCTAGATCTGCTAATCTTACTCTCCAGATGACTAGCAGGATATGATGTGGAGGCAGTAAGAGTACAAGTAGGCATGAGACTGATTTGGCTGGCTCCAAGAAGTTTATGTGTTGGTGAGGCAGAATAGTCTAATCAGGAAGAAGGTTGGCAAGGCAAAACAAATGGCTGAGCACTGAGGCAAGCTCTTTCTTCTTTCTTTTGGTGGCCAAAAGTCCCACCAAGAATGAATGGGGAGAGGAGATGGTGGATAAAACAGAGAAAGTACTGAGTGTGCTAGAAATAAAAGTATGTGTAAGAGTAAGTAGAGTCTAGATAAGTGTGGTAAGTACACATTTAAGATTATTTGTTATTGCTATGTTTTGGGGACATTAAGTTCACTGTCCTTTCTTTCATCATGTTCTCCTTCCTTACTATCCCTGTCTGCCTTTCTTAGGAAGTTTTAATGGCTACCCTGGCTGGAATTCTGTTTTTCAGACACAAACACTGAACAGAACCACTGTAACATGAAAACAGAATTCCCAGTAACCAAGGAATTTTATCTCTCTAAAATTGCATGCATTTATTAGGTATGGACTGAATCCTGACTGAGCTCAGTGGGTCAGCTTCAACTATAAAAATCTTAGATAAAACAAACTCAGTGTTTGTAGCTTTATACAGTTAATTTATATCTGATGCAAAGTAAGAATCAATATATAACTATACTTATGGGTTTTTTTAAAACTTTTTGACCTACTCTTAACTTTTTCCTAAGTTATAGTCCTATGATTCATATAAGAATTATACAATGGGAATGTCAAAACGGAATTAATTTGGTCATGCAAAGATGCAAAATGAATATAGGCATGGATCCCACCATCATTATGTGATGCTCAGACTGAACTAAACTCTTCACCTACCAGATATGCAGCTCATTTACCCAAGGAGAGAAAGTATGATAGAAAGGGAACCACTGCTGAAAGAATGGAAATACATAGAAAAGATGGAATAATACCTTCTTCTTGGCCTGCAGTAATTCCTGGTAGGCACTGGAACGTATAAAACGTGGATATGAATCACTTTTCATCAATTTGTAGATGTGCTCCTAAAGTGAAAGAATATCGGAAAGTTTACACAATGAAATCTGATCTTTTGAAAGTAGTTTTTTAAAAAATAGAATACAAACCAGAAAAATAATGCAGATTATTGTGTATGTATTACATTCATTCCTAGGGCAGCCTAAAATTTGGTTCTGTTCATACAGTGCTTGCTAAATGATTTCTAACAAACTTGCAAACAAGTTTTTCAATTAACGAAATTAGCAAGAATTAGCATCAATCCAAGCATTATGGGAGTGTTCTGCACAAGCCAGTTTGATTCAGCAAAAAAGAGGCTTTGGATGGCAATTGACCTAATTTGCATGTATTAGTCTTTACTACAGTTATAGTGCAAACATGTCAGGATACACAGAACTTAGGGTCTGTGATATCCTTAAAGTACTGATTGCTTAAGAAAAATCTACAGATGTGAGATTGTTGCCAGATTACTGAGTTTGGGATAATTACAATCAGTTTGGTCTGATGCCATATTGCATCAGGGGATGGAAAGTAAATAATGCTGAATGTTTTGTTGAAATCCTTGTCTCCTCAACAGGAGCAACTACAGGTAGTCCCCAGGTTAAGAATGCCCGGTTTAAGGATGACCTATGGTTAAGAACAGAGCCTATTGTAGCAAAATTTGAGTTAAATACACAATGGTTCGAGTTAAATACACAATGGTTCAAGTTAATTACACAATACTACTTATACAGTAATATGCAACAATACTGTTCTGGCTTACATACAAATTTGATTTAGGAATGGGGAACAGAACTTGTTCTTAAACTGGGGACTACCTGTATGTAGGAGGGGTACATGAATCCTTCTCAAACAAAGAAAGGGAGGGATGAGACTGCTTTTGGAAAGCAGACTGAGAACCAACAAAATGAGACGCAGAAAACCAAGTCAGAGTAGAAGTTTGAAAGGAAGGTGGCTAGTCAGAAACCTCTCATGAGTTACCTGCTGCAGGGCACTGAGCTGTTACAGGCTTTCAGTGCTCCATATTTTACTTATAAATAAACCAAATATTACAAAAAAAATCTCTTCTGACAGAAGTGAAACTGTGGAATCCTTGGTGCTCTCTGAGTTTGGTTGTTAGATTGCAGACATTTCATTACCCAGCTAGGTAATATCATAAGTGCTTGTGAGCATGGAGTTTGCTCCCTGTTTATATATAATAGCTTGCCCTGCCAGTGTTGATGGGGTGTGGTATTATTCTCGGTGGTTCCTTGATTACAGTATTGTTTTCTGCTTGATTGTTTGCTTGATTGCTTGTCTCCTTAGTGGTTCCTTGATCAGAGTATTGTTTTCTGCTTGTTTGTCTGGTGTTAATCCCTGCTAATCTGGGTGTTGGCTGCTGGAGAGGATGTGTTCTGGTCTTTTTGTTTCCTTCTTAACTTTCTTATTGTCTCTTTTGAATGGTGTATAAATGTGGTTTATCTCTATGTGTCTATTGATGGTTAATGTGTCTGAGTGCCAAGCTTCCAGGGATTCCCTAGCATTTTTGGTTTGGTTTGGTTTGGTCTAGGACGCTCACAGTTTCCCAGCTAAAATTATGGTTGAGTCTGTCCATGTGTTGTGAGATTAAGGAGTTTTCATCATGTCTTCTGCTAGTTGGTGTTCATGGACACACTCTGCTAGTCTTCTGCCTATCTGTCCTACATAGTGGTTGTGACAGTCCTTACACTGTATGTTGTAGATGACTCCTGTTTTTTGTTCTTGGGCTACTGGTTCTTTTGGTTTAGTTAAGATGTTTTGGAGGGCTTTACTTAGTTTGTGTGCTATGGTAATGCTATGTGGTTGTAATAGTCTGTTGGCTGTTTCTGATATGTTTTTGATGTATGGTAGTGTATCCTTTTCATAGTTTGTGTTGGTTTTGCTGTGGTGGGTTGAGTGGTCAGGCGCTTTTTGATGAAGTTGCATGGGTTATCCATTTTGTTGGAAGATGTTGTATAGGTGGTCTGTTTCCTTCTTCTGGTGTTCTGGGTTGCTGCAGAGTGATTGTGCTCATCTGAATAATGTTCTTACACAGCACCTCTTATGGGAGGTTAGGGTTGTTACTCTGATAATGGAGCGCTTGATTAGTGTGGAAGTGAAGTAGTGCAAAGTAGCAGTGAAACTGTTAGAAGAGCTTTTGTTCCTAGAACTTTTCACTGCTTGGGAAGGTGGGGACATGACTAACACCATGCATTTGGCTTATAGAGACATGTTTGTTTATTTCTAAGATCATTTAGTTGTCCTATAGCTAACATTACCCTGAATAACACACATCATAAAACTATAAATCAAAATCCATGTAAATCAAAAAACAATAATCTGTATCTGCAGGGCATTTCTCTCAACCACATGTCCTAGGTGGTCATCCCCACAGGGGGATGCCAAGGATCCCCAACCCATATGGGCTCAAGGGAACAAAGGCCCTGAAGTGATCTTCCTCTGTGGCTGCCCCCAAAGTACTTGTCTTACCCTCCAAAAAAACTCTTAGCCTTTTTCAAGGTGATGAAAACAATTTTATTTGGTAGAGATTTTGAGTGCTGGTGATGGTTTGGGGTATTTTTATTTCTGAGCCCTTTTTAAAAAAGAAAATGGTATTATTGGTTCATTTGGGTTTCTTTTTCTATAGGTCTCTTTTTTATGTCATTTATTGTAAATTTCTTGGAGTCTCTGAAGTGAGTAAATACAAAGAATTTTATATAATTATAAAACAAATAAAATAATCCAGTAACAGAACTAGAGGCTAAAAGGGATATCATAAGAAGATGGAGGGAAAGACTGAGCAGCAGAATGAAGATACAAAGCATTAAAAGACCAAGAGATTTCTTAAAAAGTATTTTCCTGACGCTGAAAAGATAACAAATGATAGTATAATTGGGAAGCTGCTACTGAAAAGCCTTGCTTCTGAGTAATTACCTGCTAAATGAACATCTGAGGATTTCTACAATCTTTAAAGGTACATCAGGATAAAGTGTACATAAAAGACTTTTGCATTTCTAAACAATAGCACTTCTGTTTAAACAGCTGCCAGCTGATATTTTTCATATAACACAGCTACCAAAACGAGTAGAGAACATGGCTCACTTCAACCCACAGTCTTAAACACAGAGATGTTTAAGATATGTGGGGAGCTGGGGAATTCTGGGAGTTGAAGTCCACACATCTTAAAGTTGTCAAGTTTGAGAAACACTGCACTAGCCAGTCACCTGCACTAACACAAACCTACAGGAGAGACCAACAAGAAGGCTGGTGTGGAAAATATGAATATAGGCAGCCATCTAGTGGTGTGAAAGGCTGTTAGCATTTGCTGTATAGATTTTAGCCAGTACTGTAGAAAGCTTCAGAAGCATTTTCAAAGAACCTCTGTGTCCCTACGCCAGTGTTGTCCAAACTTAGCCACTTTAAGATGAGTGGACTTAAACTCCTAGAATTCCCCAGCCAGCCATGCTGGCTAGGGAATTCTGGGAGTTGAAGTCCACTCATCTTAAAGTGGCTAAGTTTGGACAACACTGGCGTAGGGACACAGAGGTTCTTTGAAAATGCTTCTGAAGCTTTCTACAGTACTGGCTAAAATCTATACAGCAAATGCTAACAGCCTTTCACACCACAAGATGGCTGCCTATATTCATATTTTCCACACCAGCCTTCTTGTTGGTCTCTCCTGTAGGTTTGTGTT